TTATATTTCTTTCTTAATTTCTTCTTTGACCCACTCATTGTTTAGGAGTGTGTTGTTCAATTGCCACGAGTTCGTGTAGTGACTAGAGCTTCGTCCAGTGTTGATTTTGAGCCTTATTTCTCTGTGGTCCAATAGAATGCATGGAATTAAATCAATATTTTTTTATTTGTTGAAGTTTGTTTTGTGGCCCAATATTTGGGAAATTTTTAAAAAGTTTCATGATATGCTGAGTAGAAAGTGTATTCTTGGGTGTTTGGGTGGAATAATTAAAAGGTGTTTGTTAGGTCCATTTGGTGTATGGTATCATTTAATTCAGACGTCTCTCTCTTTGTCCAGTAGACCTGTCCAATGGAGACAGTGGGGTATTCAAGTTCCCTAGTATTACTGAGTTGGGGTTAATCTGTGTCTTAAAGTCATGTAGTGATGTTTTTATGAATTTGGGTGCACCAGAATTTGGTGTATATATGTTAAGGATTGTAATATCTTCTTGGTTAACTCTTCTTCTGTTGGAATAAAGTGGACCCTCCTTATCTCTTCTGACTAATTTTACTTTGAAGTCTATTTTGTCAGATATTAGAATGCAACCCCTGCTTGTTTCTTAGTGCCATTTTCTTGGAATATTCATTTCCATCCTTTTACCTTAAGGATGCCTGTTCTTGAAGGTGAGATGTGTTTCTTGCAGACCGCAAAGAGATGGATTTTGTTTCTTAATCCATTCGCTTAGCCTGTGTCTTTTGACTGGGGAGTTCAGTCCATTGGTACTTAAGGTTATTATTGAAAGGTGTATATTGGTTGCCATCATTTTGATTGCTGATTGTGTTCTCTATGTAATTTTGTCAAGCTTATGGCATTTCCATGTGAATTCATGCTGCCAAGCTCATGTGACTAGAGAAGACAGAATGGAGAAACAGTAGCACTGGGCCTTTCCTCAGTGTTCGCTAACACATAATTCCTTTAAGGAAATCATGTAGCTTTGCCAGGTTTCACAGGGACATGTGTCCAAAAGAAGCACAAAGCAGGAAAATAAGTAGAAAACAAGACGTCGTCACCAATACCATTAGAACCCAGAATATTTTGGTCCAGGCTCTTCTGGCTTTCATGGTTTACATTGATAAGTCAGCTGTAATTCTGATGGGGTTTCCTTTGTATGTGACTTGTTTTTTCTTTTGCTGTTTTCAGTATTCTCTCTTTGTTTTGCACATTTAGTATTTTTACTATGATATGTCATGGGGAATTTCTTTTCTCATCTTGTCTATTTGGTGTTCTATGTGCTTTCTGTATTTGTATGGGGATGTCTTTCCTTAAATTAGGGAAATTCTCTTCTACAATCCTGTTTAAGAGCTGGTCAACTGTTAACCTGAAATTCTTCTCCTTCCTCTATGCCTATGATACACAGATTTGGTCTTTTCATGGTGTCCAACGTTCCCTGCATATTCTATTCCTGTGCTTTAAAAATTTTTTTCATACATAATCTTTGCTTGAGTGGTCCAGTTCTTCAACTTTATCCTCCAGTGTTGATATTCTGTTTTCCATTTCATTCATTCTAGAGGTGAGGCTTTCCCCTGTTGTTACAAGTTGACTTACTGAGTTTTACATTTCCTTCTTCATTTCTGCATGAGTTTTCTTCAATGTTTCTATGTCTTTTGTGAATTAATTCAGAAGTTTATCCTTATCTTCTTTTAGCTCTTTGATTTGTTTGTTGATGTGTTCTTTAAATTTGTTGAATTCCTTGATCATGTTTATGATTGTTCTTTTAAGTTAGTGTCCTGGGTTATCACTAGGGGGTTCTCCTTGTAGAACTCATCTACAGGATTGGTGGGCTTTGCTGGGGACATAGTGTTTTGGCTTTCCATTTTATTATTCTTTCATTGTGGTTTTGGCATGTGAATTTCTTTTGTTGTTTATGATTCTGATATGAGAATTAAGTATTATCCGGGTGCCTAGATCCTTTCTTTATTGGTTATGTAAAGCTGGTTGGTACAGGATTAAGGATCTTTCAGGTTTATTTTGGAGAGAGCTGATGGCTTCAGATCAGCTATTCAGGGGTACCCACAGAAGCCCACTTCAGGTTCCAGTCAGGTATACTCAGGCTTCCTTTACCACATGGAGGCAGGATCCAGGGTCTCTCAGGCAGTCCTGTGCTTTGTCAACCCTGTGCCAGAGGGAGACCAGAGGGAGGCCAGAACTCAGCACTCTCTGGTGGTCTGCTGAGCACCCAGCCTTAGCCTACCAAAACCAGATCTGCCCTGGGGCCTTAGGAGGGGCCTTACAAAATCCCAGGTAGAGGGATGGTATGGCACAATTAGGGAAAGCTTACCACCACGTGGAGGCAGGATCCAGGGCCTGTCAGGCTGTCCCTTGGGATCTCAGGCACTCTGGTAGTTGGAGGCCAGAAGGAGACCAGAACCTGGCACTCTCTGGCAGTCTGCTGAGCTCTGAAGCAGCTACCCCGATCGTGAAAATGTTTTCTAAAAGATGATGCGTCTTCTTCCCAGAAACGAAAAAAATAAAATAAAATAAAATAAAAATCTGTGATTTCTTAGCATAGATACCATATTTTCAAACCAGAGAACATCAAAAACAAACCCTATATTAAGATTGCTCAATGTTTCCTGATATTCAATTAAAGCATTTCATGTTAGAAAATTGTGAGAAAATCATTAAAAATATTGTAATTTTTGTGAAACACTTTGTTTAAAAAAAAAACTTTGTGGAAGGTTATAGAGAGGACAAAATTCATACAAGAGGCTTGGGCTAACAATGGAATGAATATATATGTGTATATAAATATATCTTAATAACTGCTCCAGGCAACAGAGAAATTAGGGCAATGTAGAACAGAATGAGAGAACAAGAGAGTGCAGATACTTCAAGGAAGAGGCTGGCTTCCAGGTGAGAGAGGTTCATCTTTTTAGTAACTTACTGTCTTTATCCTTGCCACCAAGCAGCCCTGCTTTCATGTTCAAAATTAGTCTCTACGCCCTCCTTTAGAAGACCCATTTACTGAGGACTTGAGTCTTAGCTTTGACCTCTAAAGAAGTAATCTAAAAAATAAAAATAAATTATAAATGTCTAAATAAAATTGAAAAAAGTTTAGAAAGAAAAAATATAATAATTTAATCCAGAGTATTAAAAATATTACCATTCAATTCCCTCAATCTAATTCCTAGGGTCAGGTATACTTCAAAATATTTTAGATTTTTAGAAACATATCAATTGCTCTGATAACACAGTCAAAATCCATTACTATTTCTGCAAGAAAATATATGTATAATCCATACTACCTAGAAGTAGTAAAGGCTATAAAAAGCTTTAAAACAGGTTAGTTTGTGGTTTGCCACCAAATAATTTTAAGAAGCAAAGTTCCAGATTAAAGTCGTTTGGATTAAAATTGTGAATAAGTAACCACAAACCCATAGTCCAATTCTCTATCATTATTATGAGATGATATTTTACCCAAAGTTACCAACATATTATATCTTCATAAAGGGTACATCTTTGATAGTAGAGAAAAAAGGATTTGGGCTAGGAAGAGTATTTGTGGTGATCTTGCGGGTCACTGCATGTTCCATATATTTATCTTAGTATTATTTATCTTACACTTTTTGATAGAAATCCAAGCTTTAAATGGTTCATGAGGTTGACAGGATAGCGAGAGTCAGTTTCCAATCTCCCCAGCTTATGCTGAAGTTGTATTACTCTTTCTCCAGGTGAGGAAATCCACCCTTCTCCTTATCCAAACCATGTGTGAAAAGTGCTACATTGAAGCTCGAGAAGGATGGCCCTTGATTGATTATATCTTCTCCCAGTTTGCCATGTCCAGCAGGAACCTGGTATGAAGAGATGACAGTTCTGATTGCTGTACTTGTTCAAGTGCAGTTGACTCAGTGAGGCATAAAGAAAATGACTAGGCCTGAATATAACCTCTGTCTTATTGCTTATCATTTCTCTCAGCTTCTGATCTTCTCATATCCCTTTCCTTTCTCTTTTACTAATATCACTTCTAACTTAAAATGTATACAAGGTAGGCACACACTTTTCTCTGATGAGACAAACCTGACCTCCAGAAGCCTGGGACAGAGGAAGACTGGGAAATATTGAACACAAGTTCAATCAGATACGCATATCTTCCACACTGGTGTCTTCGCTCATCTTGGCTGCAAAAGTGAAATATCATGAACTGGGTGGCTTCTAAACGTTTATTTCTCACAGTTCTTAGTGGCTAAGAAGTCCGGGATTCAGAGTCATACAAGGGCTGCTTCCTCAGGGACAGCACCTTCTTACTATGGCCATCCATGATGCAGGGAACCGGCTGGCTCCCTGGTTCTTTCACAAGGGTCCTATTCTAAAACATGAGGGCTCCACCCTCATGACCTAATCTTTGCTATCATCTTTGGGTTTAGGATTTCAATATTTGAATTTGTGGGGAGACACATTCAGAACATAGTAACTGGGACCAGCTTCCTGTGAGATGAAAAGCTTGTGTAAGATTTTGGCAGTCTTAAGAAGGTGGTCACAATAGAAGTTACAGTCCAGTTCAGTAGTAAACAGTACTTTGCATTTTTTTTCCCTAGAGAAAAATGGCAAAAGCCTGAAGGATAATGGGAATGGTTATATAAAAAAGATCCTCCGAATTTTTGCTTTTATACTTCAACCATTTGTGTACCTTCCAGCCCACTCCTCCAGTGGGTTCCATCAGTTAGAGATTTGGCATTACAGATCAAGATCACTGTGTTGTTCATGAGCCTTTAGGTTGAGTGTTAGCATCCTCCAACCAGGGTCTGAGCTGAGAACACATCCAAAAAAGATTAGTGACCTGTTTAATCTTTCTTAAAGGAAACCCCAGCAAAATCGAACTCCCAAGAGGATGAAAAGGGGGAAAAATCTGTTCAAGAAACAAGCCTTGAGGTCTTAAAAACCCTGGACCCACTGGTGATTGGCATGCCCCAGGTAAGGGACTTTTATCACCACTTTCAGTTACTTTGATCACCTTCTTAAGCACCTGCCCACTTGGAAGTCAAGACATGAGATCACACAGGTGAATCATCAGCTACTGTGATGTTTTGACTGAAGAAATAATTTGATGCTTGGTACTCAGCACACAGAGGTTCCTCAGAAACAGAACCTCTTAACTTAGTAATTAAGGCAATGAGTATAAATTACTTGTATCTAGATAGTATATAACAGTTCATAAGGCCACCAATATATGACTTCTCTTCTTCTAACTTACCTAGAAATACTGTTAAGCAGTGAGTGCAGCTCTACTGTACCTGAGCTCGTTATTCAGAACCTCAAGAGGAGGATCCTTATAAAGCAATTTTCTTAAGCAAAATTGCCTGATAATGGGTTTAGTGACCCTAAATTTTTTGCTGAGCCAGGAGACAATCAATAGAACCCCCTTTCCCAATTTAAGTGGATCTGGGACTTCATCTAGGCTAGTATATAGTTATTTAATTATTTGGACTATTTCCTTCAAAAGCAAATTTTCAAGCCCAGACCTTCTAAGTCAGCATATCTGAGTATGAAGCCCATGAGTCTGCAAGTGAACACGTGGCAATATTTCTGATGCATACTTCCTTCAGTCTGAAACTTTCTATTCCAGGAGTTAGTGATAGAAGGTCCTTGGGGCTTCTAGGGGAGCCTAAACTTTAAAGAACCTGGAATGTCAAATTGTGGTTGAAAATTTTAAGTGCAGACTAAATTGTGGTTGACGAACCAGTGAAAATTTTAAGTGCAGACTAAATATTGAAAATGATCAGGGTAGAAATTCCGTGAGTGACATATGGGCAGGCTACAAAAAGAAACTACACATCAGATCAGATACAACTCACTGGTACCACAGTAGTGTCAGAATAAGAGAAAACATATAAGGGCCTGAGAGAGGTAACAGTGAAAGGGGCTTGGTGATTTAATACAGGTACAAGAGAAGAGTCCAAGGTTTCCATCAGCACAAAGAAAACTACAAAGGAACTGCAGAGCCCAAAGAGTCACAGCAGCCCAGTCACTATCCTCTCCCTGTTGTACTCACTTAGGGCAGTTCTACTCCAACAATGCAGCTTGGGAGAATATGTGGGGCAATTTCAATTGCTACATTGACAAGAACCCTGGCAATTGTGGGTAAGCCCAGGGAAGCAGAACTTTCTCTAACACCTACAGCCATCCCTCAAAATGAAGAATTGTCCTGCCCCAAATTCAAAAACTAACCCCAGGGAATAACACCCACCAACACTAACTACAATTAGCACTTTAACTACAATTAGCACTTAAACATGAATGTAGAGAGATTTTTTATATATAAATTTCTTTATTTTCCTGGATCTGAAGACTGAAATTATAATATGAGAGACAAGTTTCTAAATCAGAAAAGAAAAAAAAACATATGTAAAGATTAACGAGAAATCATAGAAAACAAGAAATAATCCTTGGCCTGTATTCCACAGGTGCTATGGCCACGAATCCTAACTTTTGTGGTACCTGTGGAATATACAGGAACTCTAGCCTACCTGTTTAATATCATCAGAATTCTGATTATGGCAGAGAAGGAGAAGAAGCATGATGTCCAGGAGTCAACAGCACTTGTCATCTCTACAGGAGCTGGTTCGTACATCCATAAACAAAGCAAAACGTTTCTATTATAAGAGACTCTTCTCCAGAATGGCTACCAACCACACTTTGTTCTCACACCCAACCCCAGTTTGAATTTTCCTGGCCCCCCACAGTGATGATGAAAATTGCTTTCTCTTTCTAGTGAAACTTCCTTTACCACAACAGCTACTGGCCAGACTTCTGGTAAGTGCATTACAAGAATCAATGTGGAATAAATTTAAGCCGATATGGACAATTCAGGTCAAAAAGAAAATGCTGAGGAAAAGTGCCTAGATACTCCAAAAGAAACACCAATACTGAATGTTAAATGTTCTGCTATACTAGCAGCATTCATGAATAGTTATTACTGGCAAGATTATCTTCTCATTCTGAAATTCTTATTAAACTTCATTATTTAAAAACAAACAGACTCTCATCCATAAGTACCATCGACCAAATCCCATCAAATCCCACATCTACAGTGCAGATTATCCTTTTCTCCATTTGGATACATCTGTATCACTTCTTCAAATACTATTCTATATGCCCTTATTTAATTAATAATATATCCAAGTGTTAATTCTTTCCACGCATTTTTGTCCATTCTTTCAGTGTATTTTTTCACAGTTATCATCGTGGGAAAAAAATAGAACTGTCTAAATATTAACTTGTTCTAGAATAAGTCAGAACAGGTTGGGTTATTTGATAAAAGAGTATCCAATTTAAGGATGAAACGAAACCAGAAGAATGGTAAGTCAAAGGTAGGTAGGCCTGTTAAATGTACTCTGACTTAAGCATTTTCTTTCCTGTCCTTAAGGTAATAGCTGTGCTTGCCAGTGTAGGGAAGTTATGTGGAGCTGGCGCAATTGGACTTCTGAAGATGCTACCTGAGATCATCCATCCCGCATTGGTAGGCCTGTGGAAAACACGCTTACCTGAGCTCCTACAGCCTCTCGAAGGTACAAAGGAGTAGGGCTGTGTCTTTATGTTCAGAGGCAAGCCCACAAAGAAATGATGCATTTATTTCTCTGTAAGTAAAGCAAAAACTGTTCATTTTAGACAATGAGGACTGGGAACTTCATAGGTGAGGTACACAGCTCTGTTTTCGTCTTGACTCCTGGTGCTCTATTTCTGTACTAATGTCACATTGTGAGACCACATAGAGAAGATGCTTTCTAGGAATTCTACATTTCCCCTGATCTTTTTCATCTATCTAGAGACACTCTCTGTTGGTATTGTTCTCAAAAATCTGTTACTCACTGGGCATGGCGATGCACACCTGCAATTTATAGTACTTGAGAGGTAGAGATACCCTAATCAAGGTCATTCTTAGATAGATAACTAAGTTCAAGGTCAGCTGGGACTGTGTGAGACCCTGTCTTAAAAAACAAAAATAGGGCTGGAAAGTGGCTCGGTAGGTAAAATGCACTGGCCACCAAGCCCAATGACCTGACTTCCATCCCTGGAACCTACATGGTAAGAGGAGAGAACCAACTCCTGCAAGTTGTGCTCAAGCCTCCACAGGCACACCATGGCATGAGCACATACATGCATGCACACATGCACATGCATGACTATATAAATAAATGAAGCCATTTCAGTGATTGCTTCTGAAATGGGCAAAAATAACTAACCAGACCTTATCACAGATTAAAGACCCTTTTCATTTGACAAGCAGGTTAAAGTTACCAATGTAATGAATGTCATTTCAAATACTTCTGCTAAGCAAAGAGAAAGCTTGAAACAAAATTCCAGTAGCCACTGGGGACCTAGTCAGGGAGAATTTGAACCTTGATTTATTTGAAGTTATTGCATCAATGTTTTTATCAACTTTCTAGGAAAGAATGCCAATACTGTGCTGTGGGAAACTGTGCTGCTGCAGGTAAAGCAGGTCCTACACCAATTATTCATGATGGACGAGGCAATCAGCTAGCTACCCTTTATGAACCAGATTAATAACAAAAGAATACGCTCCAAAGGGCAGTGAAAATCTTTACTTGAGAAAATCTAGTATATTGAAGTAATCTCTTTAATCTCCAGTGTGATTGAGCTAAAGACAATTTTAAAGATTTCGCTTACTAATATTTTCTGTCTTTCTTAAATCTTGAATTCTCATGATTTTTCTCTTCATTCTTTTATCATTCACAAAACACAAATTCAAAACACAAATTAATGTAAATTCCACTTCTGTGCTCCAAAATGAAACTTTTGTTTCTTACTGTCTTTTTTTCTGATTTGTAAGAACCAAAGGCCCCACTGTATCCTTTTTCTGGAAAAGAATCTCCTCTCTCACCCATAACCTGGAGAACTTTAAATAGTACTACAGCAAATGCAAAATTCCAGAAATTGCAAACAGGAATGGGCAGAAGATTCCATTTCCAGAACCCCCAGTCAGTGGAATAGCTGATGGATAGGGCACTTTTAACACAGCACATTTCCAAATCATAATCTGCCTGCTTAGGAATCCCCAATGGCTTCTTAAAAATGTCAGTTTTCAGGCTAATAAGATGAATCAGCACGTAAAAGGGCCTGCTGTCAAGCCTAACAAACCTGAATCTGATTCCCAGAACCCCTAAGATGGAGGAAAGAAATGATTCCTGCAAGTTGTCCTCAGACCTCCACATGCATGCTGTGGCACAAAACCACATTCACCTGCACATACATACACAATGAATAAACAGATACATGTAAAAAGTATTACAAAAATGTCAGTTTTCTGAGTGTGGTACTCAAGAGCTACCACGTTTTTTTGTAAATTTTTTATTGAACTTTTGTGTATTTCATATAGAATGTCTTAGTCATCTTTATACCCCCTTCCCCACTGGCACCCTTCCATAGCCACACACACACACACACACACACACACACACACACACACACGCAGGATTTCGTGTTTTCTTATAATTTGTTTTAATGCCTATCGAGTCAAGTTGGTGTCCCCAGACTTCCCTCAGTTCAAGTTCATCCACTGAGGTCTAGTCAGCCTATCTAGAGTCCCTCCCTTTAAGAAGATCAGCTCTTCCTTGACCAGCAGTAATCAGCTGCCAATAGTTCTTTGCCTAAGATTGGGGCCTGCCGCCTATTTCCACAAGAACTGCCATGTTTTAAAGACTCCTTTCTATGGGATAAAAATTCACCATAAGATCTAAAAGTGATTGTTCTGCTCAACTACTCCTCAATTCTAAGGTTCCCCTTCTCTTACATCTTCACTCTCTCAAAATTCCTACCCTATTTTCAGCAGCTACCCTTTTTAAATAGCTGTTTTCTCTGGGAAGTTTCTTCCTCTAGCAGGAAGCCTTCAGAACTGTATATTTCCTTCTTCCAGTCTTTTTCCAAAACCCTGTAGCACATGTTCTTCTTTGACATTATAAAATTGTTTATTTCCTTTACGAGACCCTCTAGGTGAGCTCTGAGTTCTGAAAATGCATGCAATTTTTTAATGGTTTTGACAGTGTGCTTTTCTAAGCTTAAGGAAGAAGAAATATAAGCTAAATAGTATATTTTAGAAATTATGACAGATTTTTGTCCTCTGATAAGATGAAAACATCTTTTAATTCATTGTTCAATGAAGGAGGACAGACGTTTACAGTGTTCCTATGATCCTGTCTCAGAACATCAGGTAAACCCAGGAACAATCACTTAGAAGAGTGAAAGTTGGCAGAAACGCACCTGTGCATCTCTTTGGTTCTTTAAGACATTTAATTCCTTTTTTGAAAATGCTCTCTCATTTTTAGTATGTAATAAGCCACACAAGCCAAGCATGGAGACACATGCCTTTAAACCCAGCACTTGGGAGGCAGAGGCAGGTGGATCTTTGTGAGTTTGAGGTCAGCCTGATCTATAAAATGAGTTCCAGACCAGCTGGGGTTACAGGGACACCCTGTCTCAAAAAGACAAAAAAAAAAAGCCACACAGACATTGACTATTGGAATTTTTCAAAGCCTACCAAAACTTGAAAAATGTTAACTTTCAGTTTCAGATTGGATTCTGATCTATTTTAATTCTTCATGCAGTTTTTCTTTAAGATGGGAAAAGGAAAGCATAGAGTAATTTATACATCTGTATAATTTAGTCTTAATGGGAATTCAAAATATATTAGAAAATGGCTTTAAAAATAAATGAAGGGGAAAGGTTCAAAGTAACTTGTTACTTAGTGAGAAAAGAATAATTCCATTTAACATATATTTATACTTTTCAAAGTCAAAAAATTCCAAGAAATCACACTAAATAGTCAAACTCACCTCACATCTCACTTCTACTTCCTGCAACAGTTGCTCAAGGAATCTTTATGGAAAATCAATGATGTGGCCTGGACCAGTCAACTGAGTCGGGATTTCAACCAGCAAATGGATAATTACAGCAACACCTCCATGGAGAAGGTTGGTTTTTCAGCAAAGAGACTTTAGCGTCTACCTTATGACCCAAAATGGATGCTCAAGGCCCATCTTGTCTATAATGTCAAAAGCAGAAAGGGGTGATTAGAAAAAGGAGCTCTCTTCTAAGGTCACTTACGGAATACTGAGTACTTCCTTCTTCTCAAACATGATCATATGGAGACACCCATCTTCGGGGAATACAGGAACACAGTAGTTATGTGCCTGAATATGATCCACGACTTCTCTTCTTGAAGAGGAAGAACAGACACAGGAATGCAAATAGCAGCCTCCACCACAGTGCTGGTTAAATGTCAGCTCTTGTTACCATTTCTATTAGGCTGGTGTTATGATGCTGGCATCTAGAAACAGTCTACTGCAATTTAGCAAAAGGTTAGAAGCAAGAGAGTATTCAAAAGCCAGTTCTCGAATTCCAATGTCTACAGCCCTCCACTCTGTACACACCTATTCTAAATAGGATTTGAGTCCAGGGGCTGCTATTTACTCCTAATGAAGCCTAGGGGAAACTATGTCAATCCCTGTGGATCCTCAGAAAGCTCATCTTCAAAATAGAAAGAATATTGACTATGAGGTTTGTAGCATTACAAGGGTTCAACAGATACATAAGCAAAAGGTCCCTAAGTGAAGCAGCTGGCACAAAGCGTGTGCACAGCATAAAAGCAGTTTTGACCATGGTCATTATTGTGCTAATATCATTCACAAATGTATGACTCTATAAAGAAAGTTTTTGTTTCATCTGTTCCAACTATAAGTGTTTTCCCACAAATTACTCATTCTTTTTAAAAATTTTTATTCATTTCATTTTTATTTTATGTGTATAAGCTTTTGGTTTGTATGTATGTTAAGTGAACCATGTGTGAGCAATGCTTATAGAGGCCAGAAGAGGGCATCAGGTCCCCTGGAACTGAAGTTATGGACAAGTGTTAGACCCCATGTGGGTGCTGGGAGCCAAACCCAAGTCCACTGTAAGAGCAACCAGTACTGAGCCATCTCCCCAAACCCCAAATCATTCATGCCTAACTTTTAATTCTCCTATGTAATTTTCAATTTTTCTTCTCTAACTCTGATGTGGTTCAGAGTACCATTTCTCCAGATTGGCCTACCAAACCTGCAGGTTCATGGTAAATTTTGTGAGTGATGCCTCATCCTCATCAGACAAACTTGCCCTGTGCATGTGAGATCATGCCATTTCATTTATCCAAGAGCTCCCAGACCTGAAAGACTGCCCAGCATAACAGTGCCCTGAAGAGGCAAAGCAAATTTTTTATTTGTTTTTTTGAGTCAGGGTCTCATTCTATGGCTCAGATAATCTGGAATTCATGGCAGTCCTCCTACCTCAGGCTCCTGAGTACTGGAATAACAGGCATGAGCCACCTGCCTGAAGAGGTAGAGCAATTTAAGCAGTGAAATGTCTAGATGAGTCTCAGACCTCACTTTGAACACAAAATAAGTGTTCCAGTTAGTTTTTGTATATGATGGCCTTAATGAGGACAGCTTGTCTCCAGCCCGTGTACTCTCTTCTTCTCCAGCTGGCTAGCTGAGGCTTGACTTCATGTGGCAGCAACATGCAGGGTCTCATGAAGTGTAGGCTCAGGAGGGGCACACAGTTGCCTTTGCTGCATTTTTTTACCCCAAAAATGTCACAAGCCCAGCTCAGGGACTGAAGAATAAACTTTCTTGATGGAAGTAATTGCAATTTCCTGTAATAATGGGACTTGAATAGAAACTCTGCGGCTCTGGTTTGTTAGATTCTATACCAACTCCCATTGCAAGAATGTACTTCACACAAAACCAAAATCAGGAAATAAACACCAGCAGGCCTGGGAGGTCCTGAGGCTAACCTTTTGCACCTAAGTCAGATTTTTTTCGTGATGTCTATGTTTTTTGCAGTGTAAGACTTTTCCAGATTCTTTCCACTCCTTCTCCCAAGATGGCAATAAATAGAGCCCAGAAGCTTTGCCTGTATTAATCGCTTACATCACACAATTTTCCCACATTATCAGAGTAAACTTTTCCCTAGACGGATGAGAATGGAGTAGCTGCTAACTACCTATACAAAGCCTCACTATGGCCAAGGTCACACTCACTCCAATAGTTGAGCCACAGTTCTACAGAATTAGTACTCTCTAATCCCACCCAGCCTGGTCTGCACAATTTCTCCTGAGTGCAATAACCTGATTCCATCGGTTTCTGCTAGCCTCTTCACCTGTCCCACAGATTCCCCTCTGATCACTGATAACCATCCAATAGCTACAATCCTGTGAGCCATGCAGTCTTTTTTACTGTATTTATGTATATTCATACAATACACCTTGATCATATTTAGACCTCCCTCCCCTATCTGCATCTCCCTCATACCACCCCCACAGGATTTCAGGCATTCGGTCATATGTGTTAAGACCTGTTGAGTCAAATCTGTGTCCCCAAATGTCCCTGGGTATGATTCCCCCCACTGGAGATTGGTCAGTCTATCTACATAGCATCACTCCCTTAAAGAAAACCAACTATCCCTCACCCAGCCGTGACCAGCTTCCAATAGTTCCTCAGCTAAGGTTGGGGCTCTTTACACATTTCCCCATTTCTGCTGGGGTTTTGTCTGGTTTGAGCTTGCATGGGGTCTTGTGCATGTTCTTACCATTGCTGTAAGTTCATATGAGCAAATTCCCAACTGCCTGGAAAACTCCATTTTACTGTAGTAATCAACTAGTCCTGTCTCTTAGAGTCTTTCTGCCCCCTCTTCCACAATGGTCCCTGAGCCATGAGTGTGTAAGGTTTAATATAGGAGTCCTGCCGGGGACATGCTCTTGGCAGTCTCTTCTTATTCTTTACATTTTGGGCAGTTGTGCCTTTCTGTGTTAATCACCCTCTGTTACATGAGGAAATTTCACTGGTGAAAGTTGAGAGATGCATTCCTATTCTCACTGCCCTCGATTCTGCTGTGTTGCCTAAGCCTTAGGTATAGAAGGTGTACTGTAGATGTGTCACTTAGGGCTTGCATCTTACAGTTATGCTCTGTTTGACCAGTTGTGGAACTCTGTAATAGTCTCCATCTGTTGCAAAAAGAAATTTCTTTGATGAGTAGTAACAGGTATACTTGTCTGTAAATATAGGGATCCATACTTAGCATACAGTAAGAAATTACATTTGTCTAGGGATGTGACAGACATATGGTTTTCTGTGGGATCTATGACCTCTCCAACTATGTGTATTTGCTTATGCTTACAGTACCACACAGGAGTTCCCTCCCATTGAGTGACCTTTAAGTCCAATTAAATAACTTTTGATTTACCCCCAAGACAAAATATTTGAAAGATGTCTGTTAAGTCCATTTGATGTATGGTATCATTTAATTCAGACATCTCTCTGTTTACTCTTTGTCCAGTTGACCTGTCTAGTGGAGACAGTGGGGTATTGAAATCCCCTACTATTACTGAGTTGGGGTTAATCTGTGTCTGAAAGTCCTGTAATATTTTTTATGAATTTGGGTGCACCAGAATTTGGTGCATATATGTTAAGGATTGTAATATCTTCTTGGTAAACTGTTCCTTTTGTCAGAATGAAGTGACCCTCCTTATCTCTTCTGGCTAGTTTTACTTTGAAGTCTATTTTGTCAGATATTAGAATTGCAACCCCTGCTTGTTTCTTAGTGCCATTTGCTTGGAATATTCTTTTCCATCCTTTTATCTTAAGGTAGTGCCTGTCCTTGAAGGTGAGATGGGTTTCTTTCAGATAGCAAAGAGAAGGATTTTGTTTCTTAATGCATTCACTTAGCCTGTGTCTTTTGACTGGGGAGTTCAGTCCATTGATATTTAAGGTTATTATTGAAAGATGTGTATTGGTTGCTGTCATTTTGATTGCTGATTATGTTCTCTGTGTAATTTTGTGTTTCCTAGATTATACCTTTTTTTATTTTCTTTTGTTGCCCCTAAGGTATAGTTGTTTCTCTCTCTTCTCTCTGTATTGCTTCAAGTACTCTTTGAAGGGCTGGTTTTGTGGATATGTATTCTTTCAGGCTGTTCGTGTCATGGAAGATTTTTCTTTCCTATTATGTCAACTATAATAGACATTTTTGCTGGGTATAGTATTCTGGGCTGGCATCTATTGTCATGTAGAACTGGAAATACCATGGTCCAGGCTCTTCTGGCTTTCATGGTTTGCAGTGATAAGTCAGCTGTAATTCTGATGGGCTTTCCTTTGTATGTGACTTGCTGTTTTTCTTTTGCTGCTTTCAGTATTCTCTCTTTGTTCTGTACATTTAGTGTTTTTACCATGATGTGTCATAGGGAGTTTCTTTTCTGACCCTATTTGGTGTTCTATGTGTTTCCTGTATTTGTATGGGGATGTCTTTCCTTAATTTTGGGAAATTCTTATCTACAATCCTGTTTAAGATCTGGTCAACACCATTAACCAGAAATTTGTCTCCTTCCTCTATTCCTATGATCCGTAGATTTGGTCTTTTCTTGGTGTCCCACATCTCTTGCATATTCCATTCCTGTTTTTTTTTTAATTTTCCATAATCTTTGCTTGAGTGGTCCAGCTCTTCAACTTTATCCTCCGGTGTTGCTATTCTCTTTTCCATTTCATTCATTCTAGCGGTAAGGCTTTCCCCTGTTGTTTCAAGTTGGCTTATTGAGTTTTGCATGTCCTTCTTCTTTCTGCCTGAGTTTTCTTCAATGTATCTATGTCTTTTGTGAATTCATTCAGAAGTTTATCTCTATCTTCTTTTAGCTTTTCAATTTGTTTGCTCATGTATTCTTTAAATTTATTGAATTCCTTGATCATGTTTATGATTTTTCTTTCAAATTCAGTGTCCTGGTTATCTCTAGGACTGTCCTACAGGATTGGTGGGCTTTGCTGGGGGCATAGTGTTTTGGCTTTTCATTTTATTATTCTTTCATTGTGGTTTTGGCATGTGAATGTCTTTTGTTATTTATTATTCTGATATGGGAATTAAGTTGAAGTATGCTTCTGTTTGTATTATCCAGGTGCCTAGATCCTTTCTTTATTGGTTATGTAAAGCTGGTTGGTACAGGGTTCAGGTTCTCTCACATTTAATTTGGAGAGAACTGATGGCTTCAGATCAGCTATTCAGGGGTACCCACAGAAGCCCACTTCAGGTTCCAGTCAGGTATACTCAGGCTTCCTTCACCACATGGAGGCAGGATCCGGGCTCTCAGTCAGTCCTCTGGGTTCTCAGGCCCTCTGCTAGATGGAGGCCAGAGGGAAGCCAGAACTCAGCACTCTCAGTCTGCTGAGATCCAAGCCAATACACTGATGAAGATCTGAAGCCACCCTTTCAGGCTGCCTGCTGAGATCCCAGCCTCAGCCTACCAAAGCCAGATCTGCCCTGGAACCTTTGGAGGGGGCCTCACAAAATCCCAGGTAAGGAGATGGATATGGCACAATTAGGGGAAGCTCATCACCATGTGGAGGCAGGATCAGGGGTTCTCAGGCAGTTCCCTGGGTTCTCAGGCCCTCTGCTAGATGGAGGCTAGAGGGAGGCCAGAGCTCAGCACTCTCTGAGGGTCTGTTGAGATCCTAGTTGCTACACAGATGAAGGTCCCAACCCACGCTCTCAGGCTGTCTGCTAGGATCTCAGCCTTAGCTTACCAAAGCCAGGTCTGTCCTGGGGCCTTCCAGCAATAGGCTCTTACCTTCAAGTTCTTGGAGGTAATCAAGGGCTGTGGCAATAACCTGTGTTATTTGGGGAGTCTCTTGGAATACTCTGCCAACAACTTGAAGGGAGGTTTCTCCTGTCTGGCACTGTTTTCTTGTTATGTAACCTTCAATTACACAAATGTGAGCATACACACACACACATGTATGTATGTATGTATGTATGTATGTATGTATGTATGTATAATGTGAATTTTTCAATAGGCTCTTGAACTAATACACTCCCCTCTGGTTTTTCACACCACCTAAGCATTATTTATCTCACCGCTTTCTCTCCCCTATATGGCCCTCCCTCCCCCCTCCCCAGTTAAGCACACTCATTTTCCCGTTTCCTCCTTGATAAAATCTGTCTCCTACTATCCCCCTCTATCAAGCTCCTTCTTCCCCTTTACTCCCATAGTTTCAATTTTCTTGGCTTCTGCAGTTACATCAAGATATATACATGTGTCTAAGTATTTGGAGCTAAGATCCACAAATGAGAGAGAACATACATCATTTGTTTTTTGAGTTTGTGTTACTTCACTTACTATAATTGTTTTTAGTTCCATCCACTTTCCTGCAAACTTCATGATTTCAAATGAGTAGAACTCCATTGTATAAAGGTGCTGCAATTTCATTATCCATTCATCACTTGAAGGATATTTAGATTGTTTCCATTTCTTAGCTATTCTGCAAAGAACAGCAACAAACATGGCTGTTCAAGAATCTCTGCAGTAGAATAAGTCCTTTGGGTATATGGCAAGGAGTGGTATAATTAGATGATATGGTAGATTTACTTTTAGTTTTTTAAGCATTCACACTGCTTTCCATAGTTATTGCACAAGTTTGCAATCCCACTGGCAGTGAATGAGTGTTCCCTTTTCCCCACATCCTTGTCAGCATTTGGTATCATTAGTTCTCTTGCTCTTAGCCATATCTGACTGGGGTAAGATAAGATCTTAAAGTAGTTTTGATTTGCATTTCCCTAATTACTAAGCATGTTGAACATTTTTTAAGGTGTTTCTCAACCATTTTTATTTCTTCTTTTGAGAGCTCTCTTTTCAGATCCACAGCCCATTTTTCAATTGAGTCATTTGTTTTCTTGCTTCTTTGTTTTGTTTTTTCGGGGGGGGGCGGAGTTCTTTGTATATTCTGTATATTAATCCTCTGTCAGTTGTAGCTGGTGAAGATTTTCTCCCACTCTGTGGGCTTCCTTTTAACTAGATTGGTTTTTTCCTTTGCTGCACAGAAGCTTTTTAGTTTAATGAGGTCCTACTTGTCAGTTGTTGACCTTAATTCCTGAGCAACTGATGTCTGATTAGAAAAATCTTTTCCTGTGCCTATATCTTATAGGGCACTGCCTATGTTTCTTTCTAACAGCTTCAGAGTTTCAGGTTTTACACTGAGGTCTTTGATCCATTTGGAGCTGACTTTGTTCAGGGTAATAGATAAGGGTTTAATTTCATTTTTCTACATGTGGAGATCCAGTTTTTCCAGCACCATTTGTTGAAGATGCTTTCTTTCCTCCAGTGTGTGTTCTTGACACCTTTGTCAAATATCGGGTGGTTGAAATTGCATGCACTCATGTTGGGTTTTCTGTTTTGTTCCATTGATCCACATGTCTGTTTTTGTTCCAATACCATGCTCTCTTTATGACTCTGTAATACAGTTTGAGATTTGGTATGGTAATCCTCGCATTGCTCTTTGTGCTCAGGATTGCTTTGGCTATCCAGGGTCTTTTGTGATTCCATATTAATTTTAGGATTTTTTTTTCTATTTCTGCAAAGAATGTCATGGGGCTTTATTGTGATTACATTGAATCTATAAATTGGTTTTGGTAGGATGGTAATTTTCATAATATTATTTCTACCAATCCATAAGCGCTAGAGGTTTTTTCATCTCATTGTGCCTTCCTCAATTTTTCATTGTAGAAGTCTTTAATATCTTTGATTAGGCTTATTCCTTGATATTTGAGAGCCATGTAGTCTTGAAGTGAGCCCGTGACCAACCAGTTTTCTTTCCTGTACATGACAAGATAGAGCTTCTAAATAACTATACTCATCTGATGTCATATAACTACAATTTTAAATGATTGGCATCTTGAAAATACATTTTCAAAATAATCTTATTTTCATTGAACACATCCTGAGCATACTCTGAGCACAGAAGAAAAAGAAAGAAATTATCGTAAAGAATGAAAGTCTTGATAGAGTTGGAAGCAAGGTCTGGAGGTCTGCAAAAGAGCACCAGCAGGGTCAGCACCTAGCGGAAGAGTGTATAGGTGAGGCACACAGATGTTTTAGCAACTATAAGTTAAAACCAGGGTTGCTTTATTTCTGTGGAGGCGTCAGGAAAGGCTTCTCCTTTTCATCAGTCTTGTTTCCCAACCTTATAGAATCCTACTGCTCACATTTTGTTTTCCAGAAATTCCTTTGGAAAGCCTTGGGAACCACCTTAGCATCCTGCCAAGACACAAACTTTGTAAGCTCACAGATCAAAGAGTTCCTGGTTGCTCCCAGTCAATTGGGGGACCAAAGACAGGTGAGAGCCTTTGCTTTCAGTTCTCTCGTCTAGTGATACCTATTAAACCTATCCATAAAACCTGTGGCAGCCCTGATATGTCCTGTTAGTCAGAATTATTCATGAGTACATTTAGATAGTCCAAAAGAGTTTTCTCGGAAAAGCTTCCCTATTTAAATCTCAATACCTCAGTTTTTGCCAAGATTATAAAATCACTGAAAAATGAATTTCACACATTCTTAATGCCTCCTCAATGTTTCCTGATGCTAGTTTCATAACTAAGAGTACAATGAGGACATCAAGATCATAGAGTTGAGGTAGAGTGACCTTAGTGGTCACTACCTACCAATGTAGAAAGAATATGATCCAGTCTGGAGAGTTGTGGGGAAGTACTTTTCTTTATTCCCTGCTTGACTTAGGCTGGAGAGCATCTGCAGCCATGGAGAAAAGTACAAAATATATTGATCTTATCGAGACAGGGTCTCTTTGTAGCCTCAGATGGCCTCAAACTTGCAGAGATCCACCTGCCTCTGCCCCAACAAGTGCTGGGATTAAACGCGTGTGCCACCATGCCCAGCTGGGAGGATTATATTTAAAACAGGGGAGGGAGGGCTCCACAAGCTAATAGAAATTGCTAGTAGCAAAATCTTGTACTGTGTCTTGTTACATCTTCCCTCAGAAATTCTAGGATGTTTAATATCCCTTCTTTCACAATAAATAGAAGAAACCACTTTGTTGAACTTTTGAAACTGCTTCTATATCTCTGCTTTCTCCCTTGCCAGGTCTTGTTAACCATTGATCACTCTGAGCACTATTTCTTTCTTTCTTTCTTTCTTTTTTTTTTTTTTTTTTTTTTGAAACAGGGTCTCCCTATAGCCCCAGCTGGTCTGGAACTCACTACGTAGACCAGGCTGGCCTTAAAGTCACAGAGATTCGCCTACATCTGCCTCCTGAGTGCTGGGACTGAGCACTATTTCTAACACTTATTTTCCCCATTTTAGTTTCCCTGTTCCTTCTTCTCTGTACTAGGAAGCAGAGTAAGTTTACACTCGATGCAAGATTCATCAAAGCTGTCTTTCAGCCTGTTAGGGTTGCAAAAACTTAAAGACAAATATGACATTCCTCTGAGCTTCTCAGATCCCTTGCTTACTTACCTTCAATCTTTTGAGTGTCCCACATGCCACTTAGGAATGGTATGTAGGTAAGTAAAGTACCAACACATGACTCTCTAAATGAGACAATGCCTTACTAACTGCACATCTCATAAGGAGGACTATCAATCACGTAATACCAGGGTGTCAGTCTTGGTGTTAGAATACCTGGGCTCAGATCTTGGCTTCAGAACACACTATCTGTATAACTCCGGTTCCCCCAGGGTAAAACTGGATAGAATAGAACACATCTTAAAGTTTACTGTTGAGCAGAGGATTAGTGAGCAGTTTCCGATGAGAGGGGAACTTGAGGGAGCTGTGAGGAACTGGGTGGAGAAAACTGACTAAACAAAAGCTTTGAGATATCTCTGTGGATTTGAGGACTCCACTGAGGGTAAAACCAGAAATGTGTCCCAGTTTTCTCACATGTTTTCCAGCAGCATCCAGAAGATCAAGGGCTAGGTAAACTGGGAGTTCATTTGTCCAGGGATTGGGTTTGCCAGGCTTAAATGGCAAAAAGACTACTGGACATAGATCACAGCATAGAAAAGATAAACTGGAAGACAGAAAACCACAAAGCATTATGAGATAGGAATATAAATAGGCTGAAAATCTCAAAAGAGACATATCTTAGGTTGTCACCAAGGGCATAGGGCTGTCATACTACAAGGTAAAAAGTATTGTTATAACTACCTTCCATTAATGAGAAAGGGGTTTATATGGCAGCACTAAAAATAGTGCTCCAATAAGGTTATATGCCCAAATGAAATATAACAGCATTCATGAACAATCGCAATCAAATGAACCATGACAAGATTTGTGTACAAATTTTAAAGAAGGTGCTATGATGAAGTCAGCACTTGAAAAGAAAGATGGGGGTAGAGCACGTGGGCAGCAGCACTGCATCCTTAGAACACGAAACTGCCAGCCCTCGAGAATGTACACTCGGGGCTGGAGAGGTGGTTCCATGGTTAAGAGCATTTTGTTGGTTCCCAGCATCCACATGAGGTGGCTCACAACTACCTTACCTCCAGTTCCAAAAGATCCAACGCCCTTTTCTGGCATCCACAGGCACCCACACGCTTGTGCAAAAACTGACACAGATACACATAAATAAAAGAAAATTTTTAAAAGCAAAAGAACCCGATTACTGAACATGGAAGGCCATTTCAGCAGCATGTTGATTCTTCATGATTATCAGTATTGTTTGTAGCAGCATATTGCCTATTTTAAAATATCTAAAAATAATAGTTTTAGATGTTCCCCCAATAAAGAAACTATCAGTATTTTAGGCAGTGAATACAATAATCAGCCTGGTTTGTATATTCTACAGTGTATACATGTATCAAAACAGCAAGCACATTGTACATTTAAAAATATTTATTATTTTTATTTTATGTGTATGAGTCTATTGCCTGCATGTAGGTAAATGCACCCATGTCGTGCAATGCCTGTGGAGGACAGAAGAGGCTGTCAGATCCCCTGGAACTGGAGTTACATACAGTTGTTAGCTGCCATGTGGGTGCTGGCATTCGAACCCAGGTCTTCTGCAAGAACAGCCAGTATTCTTAACCGCTGAGCCATCTCTCCAGTCCCCACAATATACATTTAAATAGATGTACTTATTATCCACCAATTAAAGTAAAACTTAAGAAGAAACAAAAAATGGAAACTTTAGTCTGCTCAAACATCCATTCATTTCTGACTACCACCAGCCCAAACTCTTAAGGCTCACCTAACAGCAACCCCCACCTCCTGTCTACCTCAGTTTGCCCTGGTCTTTACAGTTGCTCACTCATCTCTCTTCAGTGGACCTTGGGACCTTTGTACTTACTTTATGTTTGGAGCGCTCCCTGGCAGGGTAGCCCAGCAGTTCATCCTCTCCCTTTTTTCAGGGCTCTGCCTCTGCTTAATATAAACATGTGTTTGCACATGTATCTCTAACTACCCTACTCACATTGCAAACTTCCCTCAATCCTCCCCAGCCATTCCCCTCTCCTCTCTCATCTCTATTGCACTTGTCACCCTCTGGCGTACTATACTGTTCACTTCCCTATTGCCTTCCAGCAGTCTAACTGGCTGTGTGCCCCACAGGGATTGGGATGTCACCATGCTCTATTCAACCCTGTATCCCTAATGCCCAGAAGTGTCTGGTACAGAGTAGATTCTCAATAAATACTTATTGAATGAATGAATAAATGATTAAACTCAAAGTCTGCTTCTTCTGATTTTAGGGAATAACATCTATTTTAGGATACTGTGCTGAGAACCACTTGGATATTGTCTTAAAAGTTCTTAAAACATTCCAAGATAAGGAGAAATTTTTTGTGAATCGATGCAAGGTAAAAGAACAATCTTCTCTAAAGCTCTTAGTCACAAGGACAAACACTTATGAGGCCCAAACCTTCACACTGCAGGATGGTCAGCTGGGTCACTCTGGCATAAAGCTGACCTTGAAAGCCTGGTAGCTCCATGTGTACCTGCATTTGTCCTACCATGAGCTACTTTGGCATCACACACAGTGTAATCATGTGTACCATGCTATCCCCTAAAGAAGGGATGTTATGCGTACACAATGAACAGAAGCCTGATGGCCCCTGCACAGTCCTGGATGTTTGCATTTGTATAAGCAAGAGCATATCAGTCTTAGTTAGACTCATCTTCATCATTAACCCCTGTAGTGGGCCATGGGATTAGGGCAAAATACGAGAGAAAAATTGCTTACGTCTTCCCTTTCCTTGTCCTCAGGGTATTTTTTCTGGGAAAAAGACCCTGACCAAGACTGATCTCATCTTGGTCTATGGAGCTGTGGCCCTCCATGCACCCAAGAAGCAACTTCTCACCAGGCTTGATCAAGACATCATGGCCCAAATCCTGTTTCTCTATGGCCAATGTTCTCAGGTAACACCCACCCAAGAGCTGCCTCCATTTCCAGGGTGGGGCTGCCATAACTCCCAGAGGCTCAGCAACTTTGACAACTATCCAGGCTGAAATAATGCAAACAAAGAGAGAAAGAGAGAGAGAGAGAGAGAGAGAGAGAGAGATGGGATCTACGGAATCTAATATGTTAAAAAGACAGCATACCTGAAGAGAGAAATTATTACACAGTAGGGCCAAGTAGTTTGCTTCTTTCCTGAGACTTTGAGTAGTGCATGTTCTATGACATTTCCAGTGCCTTCCAAGGTGAGTTTCATCCTTGTTTGAACCTAAATAATTACGTCTGTGCCATTTTAAGACAACTAGCTTATCACTTACCTATTATATTCTTAGAAGTGAAACTTGACATATGTATGCTCCTTCTAGCTCTGGGCACAGGCCCACTTCTTCTCTTGGCATCCCAGACCTCTGAACTACCCTCTTGGCCCAGATCCCCCACTGCATCCTGATCCTTTGCACCAAGACCAACCAGGTTATTCATTATAGTTCCCTAAAGTCTTCACAGCCTTCCTCCCCACCCCCACAACTTGTCTTTGCACACCTGAGATCAGGCTTCCACCCTGGCTGCCCCCAACCCCAGCTTACCTGGGATTCCTGAGACCAGCCTCCTCCTCTGACTGCCTGAGAGTACCTGAATCCCACCTCTACTTAACAAGCCTCCCAAATTGTACTGTGCCTGCAGACTAGAGGGACCCAGACCTTAGGCTGAAGCCTGGGAGCATCTGATCCTTGTCTGACTTGGGCCCCTGTGGGAACACCTGAGCAGCTGGACTAAATCCATTAGGCCCCTCTAATAGAAAATCAGAAGAAAGAACATGAAGCCTAGACCAACCAGCTTTTCATAACAAATAATAAAACAGCAAAAAACATGTAAAGTATACAAACAGAAACAGACCTAAACTCAAAAAAGGAAGGCTTGAGTCTCACACAAGAATCAGGAACTACAAAAGAAATCCACATGCCAAAGTCACAGCGAAAAAATAGTAACATGAAAAACCCAAATAATATGTCCCCACAAAGTACCAAGAGTCCTGTAGAGAACATGTACAATGAGAACCCCCTAGAGATAACACAGGACACAGAATTCAAAAAATCAATTATAAACATGATAAAATAAGTCAATAAATTTAAAGAACACACAAAGAAATCAAAGAACTGAAGATATCGATAAACTTCTGAGTGAATTCACAAAAGAGTTAGAAATATTGAAGAATACTCAGGCTGAGATGAAGAAGGAAGTGAAACACTTAATAAGCCAATTAGAAATGACATGAGATAATGAATGGATAAAGTTGACAAATTAGACTACTCAAGCAAAGATTATGAAAAATTTAAGAAAACACAGGAATGGAATATGTAGGAAATGTGTGACACCATAAAAGACCAAATTTACGCATCATAGGCATAGAGGAAGGAGAAGAATCACAGAAAAATGGTATGGATCAGCTCTTCAACAGGATTGTAGAAGAAAATTTCCCCAAATTAAAGAAAGACATGCCCATACAAATAAATAGAAGTGCATAGAACACCAAATAGACAGAAACTCCCCATGGCATATCATAGTAAAAACACTAAGCATATAGAACAAAGAGAATACTGAAAGCTGAAAAAAAAAGTCACATATAAAGAAAAACACTTCAGAATTACATCTAACTTTTTAGTGCAAACTATGGAAACTATGAAAGCCAGAAGAACTTGGACCAAGGTATTCCCAGTGCCACAGATGCCAACCCAGAACACTTTATCCAGAAAAAAATGTCTATTATAGTTGAAGGGGAAAGAAAAATCCTAAGAATTCATGTCCACAAAACCAGTCCTTCAGAGAATTCTTGAAGCAAAACAGAGCTGAAGAAAGGAATGACTATAACTGGGGAAACACACAGACCAAGCATGCAAGCAGAAGTCAGAATTACAGGAATCAATACATGTCTTTCAATAACAACTTTAAATATCAATGGATTGAAATCCCTAGTCAAAATGGACTAAGAGACAAAATCCATCTTTTGTTGTTTTCAAGAAACCATCACACCTTCAAGGACAGGCACTACCTTAAGGTGAAAGGATGGAAAAAAATATTTCAAGCAAATAGTACTAAGAAAAAAGCAGGACTTGCAATTCTAATACCTGACAAAATGGATTTCAAATTAAAACTAATCAGAAGAGATAAAGAGGGCCACTTCATTCTGATAAAGGGAAAAATTGACCAAGAATTCATGATATTACAATCATGAACATTTATGCAGTACTACAGGACTTTAATACCCAGATTAATCCCAACTCATTGATAGTAGGGGAATTGAATACCCCACTGTCTCCATTAGACAAGTCAATGGGACAAAGAATAAACAGAGAGACATCTGAATTAAACAATACCATACATCAAATGGATCTAACAGACATCTACTGAATATTCCACTCAGGCAAAAAAGAAGATACTTTCTATTCAGCATCCCATGGAAATTGCTCCAAAATCAACCACATACTGGGGCACAAAACAAGCCTCAACAAATACAAAAAGATTAAAATAATTCCATGCATTCTATCAGACCACAATACAATAAAGCTTAAAATCAACATGGGAAGAAACCCTAGTAACTACATGAACACATGGAGATTAAACAACACACACCTGAATGATGAATGGGTCAAAGGAGAAATTAAGAGAGAAATAGAAGCATTCCTGGAACTAAATGAAAAGGACAATACAACACAACAAAATCTCTGGGATACTTTAAAAGCAGTCCTTAAAGTGTAGTTTATAGCTCTAAGTGCCTACATTAAAAAAATCAGAACACAAATGAATGATTTAACATTGCAACTCAAGACACTTGAAAAACAACAACAAATGAAACCCAAACCCAGCAGACAAGAAGAAATAACAAAAATTAGAGCAGAAATTAATGAAATAGAAACAAACCAATCCAAGACCTGGTTCTTTGAAAAGACAAACAAGATAGACAGACCCTGAGGCCAGTTCACCATTTTTTTTTGGGACCCCCACCTTCAAATCAACAATATCAGAGATGAAAGGGGAAACATCACAACAGACAACAGAAAGAAACATAGCATTATAAGGGAATACCTTTTTTTTGTCTTTTTGAGACGGGGTCTCCCTTTAGGCCCAGCTGGCCTGGAACTCACTACGTAGACCAGGCTGGCCTTGAAATCACAGAGATCCGCCTGCCTCTGCCTCCAAGTGCTGGGACTAAAGGCATGCGCCACCACATCCAGCACATAAGGGAATACTTTTAAAAACCTATATGCTACTAAATTTGAAAACCTAAAAGAAATGGATGTGTATCTAAAATCATGGGAATCACCAAAACTAAACCAAGAAGAGATCAACAGCTTAAACAGAGCCATAGCACATAAGGAAATTGAAAGAGTAATACAAAACCTCCAGACGAAAAAAAAAAAAAAGCCAGGCCCAGATGAATTTACAGCAGAATTCTACCAGACCTTTAAAGAAGATCTATATCCAATACTATTTAATTTATTCAAAATGATAGAAACAGAGGGAGAGCTTCAAAATTCTTCCTATGAAGCCAGCATCATTCTAATATCAAAACAAGGTAGAGATACAACCAGAAAAGAAACCTATAGACCCATGTCCTTAATGAACATAGATGCAAAAATTCTCAACAAAATACTTGCAAACTGTATACAGACACACATTGAAAAGATCATCCACCATGATCACATCAGCTTTATTCAAGAGATGCAGGAATGATTAAAAATACTTAAGTCAATAAATGTCATAAATCATACAAATGAACTCAAAGACAAGAACCACATGATCATCTTAACAGATACAGAGAAAGCTTTTGACAAAATTCAACATGCATTTATACTCAAAGTCCTAGAGGGAATTGGACTGGAGGGAACATACCTCAATCTCCACTTCTCTTTAACATAGTGCTTGAAACTCTTGCAAGAGCAATAAGACAGGAGAAAGAAATTAAAGGAAAAGAAGAGATCAAATTATCCCTTTTTGCAGAAGATATGATATTATGTCTAAGAGATGCCAAAAATTCCACAAGAAAATTCCTAGAAATGATTAACACTTTTAATAAAGTAGCAAGTTACAAAATTAATCTACAAAAATCAGTAGCCTTTCTATATACCAAGAACAAACAGTTGGAGAAAGAGTACATGGAAACACTCCCTTTCACAAAATCCTTAAAAAATTCAGAATAAACATGACCAAAGACATTAAAGACTTCTACAATGAAAATTTCGAATCTTTAAAGAAAGATATTGAAGAACACACCAGAAGATGGAAGGACCTCCCATGCTCATGGATTGGAAAAATTAATATTGTGAAAATGACCTTCCTACCAAAAGTCATTTATAGATTCAACGCACTGCCAATCAAAATCTCCATGATATTTTTCACAGAATTAGAAAAAAAAATCTTAAAATTCATATGGAAGCTCAAAAGACCCCAGGTAACCAAAGCAACTGAGCACCAAGAGCAATGCTCTTGGGGACTACTATACCAGATTTCCAACCATATTACAGATCTATACTCATAAAAACAACATGGTGCTGACACAAAAATAGACCTATAGATCAATGGAAAAAATTGAAGACCCAAATATGAGTATATGAAATTTCAGTCACCTCATATTTGGCAAAGGGACTGAGAACATTCACTGGAGAAAACAGCATCTTCAGCAGATGGTGTTGACAAAACTGGATTGTCACCTGTGGAAGAGTAAAACTAGACACTAGTCTCTCACCTTGCACAAAAGTCAACTCCAAATGGATCAAAGACCTCAATGTGAAACCTGAAACTTTGAAACTGTTAAAAGATATAGGTATAGGAAAGCCCTTTCTAAATCAGACATCAGTTTCTCAGGAACTAAGGCCAACAATCAAGTGGGACCTCATTAAACTAAAAAGCTTCTGTACATTGAAAGAAGCAACCAAGGAAGTGAAGAGAAAACCCACAGAGTGGGAAA